CAATAATTACTAATAGGGCATTATGTAAAATTGTGGATGTGTAACCGACGTGATTCTGCAATCTGCATTTGGGGTAAAATTGGGAGTTCATAACCCTCTTCAATCTAATGTATGAAATACGATATGTCAAGAGCTTTGTAATATTGTGAACAACCAATAAAAAAAAGAAAAAAAGAATCTTATATGGAAATGTATGATGTGATCTACTTTTCAAAGGTGTTTGGGTCAAAAATCATTAACCATAAAACAAAAAATTCTCAAAATTGGACTTCATCAAAATTTTAAATATCTTATCAAAGACACCATTAAGCATATGAATAGAAGCCAGGTACAATGGTACATGTTTGTATTGTGAACTAAAAGAATATGAATAGATAAACCAAAATCTAGAAGTAATATTTTGGCAGAACGTATTTCTGATGAAGAACTTCTATCTAGAATATATAAAAAAAACTCCTACAAGTTAACAGTGAACACCCTCACTCACTCCTAAAACAGTGGGTAAAAGACTTGAACAGATATATCATAAAAGAAGGGATACTGATGGCATCAGGGGAGTAAAGATTAAAATCACAATGAGGTAAAATTTCACACCCACTAGAGTAGTTAGAAACAGACTGACAATACCAAATTTTGGTAAGAATATAAAAGCAACTGAAACTCTCGTTTACTTAGTGTGTAAAATGACAAGACCACTTTGGGAAACCTGTGTAGTTTGTAATAAAGTTAAGCATACACCTACCCTGGACCTAGAAATTCCACTCCCAAGTGTTTACCCAAGAAAAATGATAACATACTCACAAAAAGACTTATACAATAATGTTCAGCCTTATTCACAATAGCCCTACACAGGACAATGAATTTTTTAAAAAACTAACAGAATTATTCAGTAGTAAAAGAGAATGAACTGCTGATATGCACAATGATAGAGTGAATTTCAGAAAATATTATACTAAGTGAAAGAAGCCAAATACAAAAGAGTAAATATTGCATGAAGTCTAGGAATATGTAAATCCAGTGTGTACTGATTAAAAATGAGCCTGGGAGGGAGGGAGTTGATTAGAAAGAAACAAAAGGGAGCTTTAGGGGGTGATAAAAATATTATATACCTTTCTTTAGATCACAGTTATATAAGTTTACAAAGTTTTGAAAATTTACAAAACTGCACATTTGAGACCTAAGCATTTCATTGTACATGAATTAAACTTCAGTAAAAAACACACAATTTTAAAAAACACAATGTGTCCTGCCTTGAACTGTTAAGGTTTCTTTGTAAAATGTGAGATAATAGAAAAAAATCCAGAGTCAGACGCATGTGGGTTCCAGTGACAGACCTTGGGCAGGTTCCTTAGCTTCATTCAAGTTCCACTTCTGCAAATAAAAATATCTACTTCACAGGATGACCAGAAAGATTGATTATAAAGTACCTACCCCAGTACCTGTCACCTGGGAGTTTCTCAACAAATAGCTGTTTTCAAAAAAAATCTTTTTAAGTAAACTGTGATCCTGAGGGTCCAACTCAAAATATATTTTATGGTTCTGCTCTGTGAATGATGCCATATGCAATTTAAGAGAAAAATTCAAAACTCAGGACGAAAAACTGGAAAACAATAAGTTAAAGAAATCACTCTGGTGTGTCAGAGAGCCTGTGGACACAGCTGGTAGCTATCAATTATTTGTGATTATTACAGGAAAATCTGGCACTTTCTGTGATCATACACAAATCTGTCATCGTCATGTCCTACCTCATCTTTTACTAAGTGTCAGCAGGGAAGAGAAAGGCCGCTTGGAATGGGGTCTAAAAGAAAAAAGCTGTGATTTCTCGAGGTGCTTAGCTTCTACTTTTTAAAGAAAACACCCATTTTTTTACCTTTCCAGATGTCTCCATGGCAAATTATTTATGCAGTTTCAGGACTAATATGAAGTTTTGATTAAAAATTAATGGAAAAAGAAGACTGGAATTCAAATGCATCTTTAATTTTACTCTTTAATCCTCAGTCCCTGTTCCTTGTGCTAAATCATCCTTTATTTCTCTGCCTGAACCAATTTTGGAAAATTGAATGCATTAGAGCGCCCCCTGGAGTTGCCCTTCTCTGGTTCTGTTGACTGGGCTTGAAGAATGTGGAGGAGGCAGCCCACAGCTCAGGGTAGCTCTTCCCTCTCCCTGGGTTTTCTGGAAGATCTACCAGGCCTACAATAGCCCTTCCCACAGCCTGTGGTCCAATGACCCCATTTGGGTCACCATGCCCATTAGTGGTTGCAGTAAGTTAGTTGAGGGAAAATAAGATTTAAAGGACCCCCTAACCTGGTTTTCTCTGTGTGTCCTGCTTGAAAAACCAGACTGGCAGCTAATGAGAGATCAGCTCATGATGGTCTTTGGCTATTCCCTCTCCAGCTCGTATTCATTTCTTATTTGGGGCTGTCATGACATTTTTTTTTGGGGGGGGTACCAGGGATTGAACTGAGGGATGCTCAACCACTGAGCCCCATCCCCAGCCCTATTTTGTATTTTATTTAAAGACAATGACTCGCTGAGTTGCTTAGCACCTTGCTCTTGCTGAAGCTGGCCTTGAACCTGTGATCCTCCTGTCTAAGCTTCCCAAGCAGCTGGGATTACATGTGTGTGCCACCATGCCCAGCTGGGACTGTCATGACATTTTATTTCCTTTCTGCAGAGCCTTTCTGGGAGCCTGGTAACTGGACACATTGCTCTGCCTCCTGTGGTCACTTGGGATCCCGTATTCAGAGACCCCAGTGTGTGTTGGCTAGTGGACAGAAAGTGAGTGAAGCCCTTTGTAATCATCTCCAGAAACCACTGACAGGGTTTCAGCCCTGTAACATCCAGGACTGTCCTGCAAGGTATGTGAAGAACTCTCTTATCTCATACGTACCCACACTTTTCTTGTTTTAAAACACACAGCAATTTGAACATAATGGCTCAATAGCTAAGATTTATTTAGCACTCACTCTGTACCAGACATTCTGCTAAATGCTTGACGTGGATTGTCTCACAGTAGCCTGTGAGATACATTTTGGTTTCCTGTTTGACAGATGGGAAAACTCCCTAGGCCCTACAATTTTAAGGACCAGAATTTAAACTAAAATGGTCTGATAGTCTGATGGTCTAATTCAGAGCACCCCTGCCCCACAGTATTAGGGATATAACCAAGGGGGCACTTTAGCCCTGAGCTACATTAAAAAAAATTGAGACAGGGTCTTTCTAAGCTGCCCAGACTGCCCTCAAACTTGTAGTCCTCCTGCCTCAGCCTTGCACGTCCCTGGGATGACAAGTGTGCACCGCCATGCCCCACCTCAGAACCTTTACTCTTAATCACTACACAAATCTGCTTCCTGCACTCCCAGTGCTTGCTACATCTTTGGGCTGCAGAGAGGCTGATTTCATGGCCTTACCTTGCAGATAAGGCAGTGGACCAATCATCACCTGAGGACTAGTTAAAAACACAGTTCCCTAGGCTTGACCACAAAAATCTTTCTAAGTGATAAATGATACACGTCAGTAATTAGAAAAACTCCCAAATCAAACTTCTCATCTACACTAAACGTGATCCATCTCAGTCTTCCAGATCTCAGTGGCTACCTCCTACACGCCCTCACCTCTCTCACTTCCACCTGTTTTTATCAATTTCCATGGTTACCACTAGAGTCCAAGCCGTCCTTGATTTTTGTCTCCCTCCCTAGAGTACTTTCTTCACTCTATAGGAATATTTTTTAGCTCAATGTGATGTCACATACCTGTGAATCCCAGCAACTTGGGAGGCTGAGTCAGGAGGATCCCAATTTCAAGGCCAGCCTCAGCAACTAAGCAAGACCATAAACAACTTAGTGAGACCTTGTCTCTAAATCAAAAATAAAAAGGGTTAGGGATGTAGCTCAATGGTAGAGTGTCCCTGGGTTTTATCCCCAATATCACATCAACAACCAAAAAATCTTTTAAAATAAATTCATCATGATGGTACTCATTGTTCTTGGGAAAAAGACCAAAATTCCTAGCTTTGGGGTCATGTCTATCTTATATGACTTTTTATCTGCAGTATCTAAAATAGCACCTAGCACACAGTAGGTGGGTTAGTGAATATTTGCTGGCTGACTGAATAAGTGAGTGAAGAATTGAATTTCCTTCATGTACGGGTTTTGGTTACTATTTTTTCTTATTGCTTATCTCTCCCACTCTGGTTATCTGAGCTCCCTCCATACTATTAATTTTTGACCCTTGGTTGTACTGTTTTCTTTCCTGACTCAGAACCTTTATACATACTGTTCCCTTTCTCTTCACTTAATATTTCCATACATTTTCAGGGAAACCTTCCTGACATTAGCTCTCCAAAGTAAGTCAGAATGTTTTTTATATTTCTTTCTTTATCATTTTTCATAGCTCTTACCACAATGTCTTGCTCTCCACTAGACTGTAAATTTTATAAGTAAACTCAGGGCTATTTTTCTCAATAATTTATTTTTAACACTTAGCACAATGTCTGTCCCATAATATGCAAAATGAATTAATGAATGATGAAATATTTATTTATTTTAAAAAATTTTTTAAATTTTTAAATTTTAAAAATAAATTTAATGCCATTTGCCAATTATCTGCTATGGTCTATGACATAGCAGATAATTGGCAAATGGCATTAAAATCAACAGTAAAATATAAGTTAGCAAATAAAGAGCTATTTAATGAGTACAAGTTCTTGGCTGACACAGTTATCAACCTCATTTTTCTTTCTTTTTTCTTTTCTTTTCTCTTTTTTCTCTTCCTTTCTTTCTTTTTCTTTTTCTTTTTTTTTCTTTTTTTTTTCTTTTTTGGTGGTACTGGGGATTGAACCAGGGTGCTCAACCACTGAGCTCCACCTGCAGCCCTTCTTATGTTTCATTTTGAGATAGGACCTTGCTAAGTTGCCCAGGTTGGCCTGGAACTTTCAATTCTCCTGCCTTAGCCTCTCAGTGGCTGGGATTACAGGCATGCGCCATTGGATCCAACACTAACCCTATTATTTAAGGAGAAAATAGAAAGCTGAATGTTATTTACCTCAGTGCCCTTGTGCAAATGCCGACACCATATCCAAATACCTGTGCCTTGGAGGGGTATGGGATGCAGTCACACTATAAAACCAAAAAGTTACCTTGGGGCATGTTCTTATAAGGGCTGTCAGTATTGCAGGCACCCTAACTTCCATGGTTTCCAGGACCCACTGTAATTCTTAAAAGGGAAATCAATGCTAAGAGTCGTCCTTCAAAAAGTCCTGAGTTCAAGCTACAATAATTAAGGGGAGTCTGATCAGAGAAAGGCACTTTATGTCAATTTTTTTTTTTTGCAAAGTGGAGAGAATACACATTGAGAAACTTATGAGCAGCCTTGTTTATTAAACAAGCTGGTTGGGGTTGTAGTCAGTGGCAGAATACTCGCTTAACAAATGTGAGTCATTGGGATATATCTTCAGCACTGCATAAAAAATAAATAAAATAAATGTATTGTGTCCATATACAACTAAAAATTTAAAAAAATAAATAAATATGCCCGAGACTTTGCACATTCCTAGAATAAATAAAGTACTATGCTTTGTACCTATTGAAGACCACAGAGGTCCCTTAATCCCCCAGAATCTGTTATGTCAAGGATTCTTAATATTTATTTTGTTCTTTTGGGATATACATGACATTAGAGTATATTTTGACATATTATACATACAAGTAAAACTTATTCTAATTTGGATCCCACTGTGGTTGAACATGATGCGGAGTTTCACTGGTAGTGTATGAACATAGAAAAATTATGTCTGATTCATTCTAATGTCTTTAAGGATTCTTAATCTTAACCTTCCTGTGCCATGACCCCCTCTGTAAGTCTGGACAAACCTATGAATACCGTCTCAGAATAATGTTTTTAAATATATAAAATAGAATACAACTGGTTATAGAGGACACTAATTATACTGATATACATTTATTGAGATTTTTTTAAAATGTGTGATATGGTAATGGATTTGCTTCTCTGTTGACACACTAAGTAATAAAAGCTAGCTTTACTTTAATCTTGAAGTGGTGATAAATATAAATGATGTTTTGAGATATCTATCACAGTTGTAATGGGATATGGAAATACCCGTGGCTTCTATTAACAAAATCACTGGCATTACTAATACTTCTGTAGCTTGTGGCCTATGTTTTTATCATTAAAGGAAATACTAAACATTAATTAGATGTAATAACCAAGCACATGGTCCTCTGGATAACCACGGACCTCTTGTTTCGTAATATACAAGCAGGTTAGACATCTTGTATGACAAATCACTCAATATCCCAAAGGAGTCCGTGTCCACGTTTCGTCTCCTGTAATCATTAAAGCATGATCCTTAGGGTCAGGTATATCTGTAATCCAGTCCCAGCTCTGTTGTTGGTTTAGTTATGTGATCCTAGCCAATTGACTTAAAAGAATGGGAAGCACATGAAAATCAAATAGGATAACATGTAAATATCTAATAGAGCAAACAGCACATAGGTACTTTAGAAATATTTTCCTCCCCTTGGTTTCAATAAATTAAAATCTACCTTTTTGAAATTTCCACTGATTTTACCCTAACTTCACTGTCCAGGACCACACAAGGGACAGCTCTCCTAAACTTAAAGATGTCTCTGCCCCCACAGTCATGTTGGTCATCTCTAACATGGTAACTCTGCTGCTCCTCTGTGTAAAAGAAAATCTTGAAAGGTTGGGAGTTACCTATACTGCTGCCCCTTCCCATAGGCACATGTGACAGCCCTGAAACAGTTTGTTAGGATTGACTTTTATTTTGGCAAGACAATCTGTAAGGCCTGAAATCCCAGTCCTTACTAAGATCCTGTAGTTTTTGTTCCTAGGTGGTTCACAAGTGTGTGGTCAGAGTGCTCTTCATCTTGTGGTGAAGGATTCCACAGTCGGCAAGTGACATGTAAAAGGACAAAAGCCAACGGAACTGTGCAGACAGTGTCTCCGAGGGCATGTGCCCCTAAAGACCGGCCTCTGGGAAGGAAACCATGTCATGGGTATCCATGTGTTCAAAGGATCATTGAACCAGCGAGCCAGGTAGTCTAGTGTGTGGACAGTACTATCTATAATCACCTCCTTATTTCTAATAATTTGGGGACGGGGTTGGAATCTGGTGTCTAAAATGAATGTATTTCTCTGATCTCAGCATCTGCATTTGTAAATCAGTGTCTCTGTGTTCCAGTACAGAAGTGAACCTTAAAGCAGTGGTGCAATAACAAAACCTCCTAAATAGATCAGTTCAGGGCAGTAGGAATAAGAGCAGCCTTCCAGGAAGGAAGGAGACGAACACGAGTGCTATCTGCACAAAATCTCACAACTCAGATTCCAAGTGCCACTGTTAATAAAATAATAATAAAATGCTCAGGGAAATTTGTTTTTAATGTCTATGAACTCATGAAGAACACATTACTAAGACATAAAGGAAAAGTTGAACCAGTAAAAGGTGTATTACATTCCTGAAAGGAAAATGTCAGTACTGTAAAGATGTCCATTTCCTTAAATGAAATTGTGCATGTCATAAAATTCTAATTAAAATAACAGAACCTTTTTATGGAGTAATTCTGGCATTCATGTTAGAGAATAAATAAGGACAAGAAATTTTTAGAAAAACAAATTACTGGAGGTGTGGAGAGCTTTTTCTCATGCTGTGTCCCAGCAAGATGCAAATCTGTTGTGAGTAGAATTGTTCATTATTGGGGCAGGAAAAGACACAGGGTACATAGTGTAACCACAGCACAACAGACACATGTGAGGTGACTTAAAAGTTCAAAGGCAGTTTATCATAGGGGAAGGAATGGTTTTAGAAAATCGAGGGTTTAAGACTACAAGATTTTTTGAAGAAATTAAAGAAAATCTAAATAAATAGAAAAAGGTATCCTATAGTCATACATCAGAAGACTTAATATTGCTAACAATACAACACTTCCCAAATTTATCTACAAAGACAACAGAATTCCTATCAGAAATTGGCAAGGTGATCTTAAAATTCACAAGGAGAGAGAGGAGAGGGCTTTGGAATAGTTGGAGGATTCAAAAATCCTAATTTCAAAACTTATTACCAAACTGCAGTATTCAAGGCAGTGTGGTACTAGATTATATGTATAAAAATTGTGTGTGTGTGTGGGTATATAGTATATAATATGATCTATATAAACATATATATTTCAATTAAGTAAAGAGTAAACCAATGTATTTGTGTCAATTGATTTTCTACAGGATTAATAAGACTATTCATTGGGGAAAGAATACTTTTGAACAAATGGTGCAAAACACCCAGATATCCATGTACAAAAGAATTAAGTTGGTCCTCCAACTTTACACCACATACAAAAAATTAACTTAAATTGATCAAAGAACTGAATTTAATAGTTAAACAACAAAATTCTTGGAAGAAGTCATAGGATACATCTTCACAACTTAAATGAGGAAATTATTTTTTAGATATAACACCAAAAAGCATAAGCAACCATAATGGAAGTAGATAAATTAACTACATTAAAAATAAAACTTTGTTGCAAAGGACACCATCATGAAAGTAAGCAGACAACCCACAGAATAGCAGAAGATATTTAAATAGCATATATCTAAAAAGGCACTTGTATCTACAATCTATATTATAAACCACAACTCGATAAAAACATAAATAACCCTACTAAAATGTGAACAAAGGACCAGAACACATTTCTTAATTAAAGATACAAATGGCCAATGAGTGTGTAAAAGGATACTTGCCATTGATAACTAGGGAAATGCAAACCAAAACCACAATGAGAAAGGGGTTCATGCCCAATAGGATTTCATTAGTAAGAAATATAGTGAGAATGTAGTAGGGAAACTAGAACCTTCAGATGCTGCTTGTGGGAATGTACAGGCACTTTGGAAAGTAGTCTAGCCGTTCCTCAAAAGGTTAAACATATAACTCCCCTATAACCCAGCACTTTCTACCCCTGGATATAAGAGAAATGAAAATGTATTTTCACACAAAAATGTGTACATGAATGTTCATAGCAGAATTATTATAATAACAAGACAGTAGAAACAACCCAAATAATAACCCATAATTAAGAAAAAGAGGAAGCAGCTGATGAGTAGATAAATCATGGTGTGTTTGTACAATGGAATATTACTTGGCCATTTAAAAATAAAGTATTAATACATGCTACGATATGGATGAACCTCGAAAACAAAAGTGAAGGAAGACAGACATAAGGACCACCTAATGTACAGTTCCATTTATCTTAAAAGTCCAGAATAGGTGAATCTATAGAAACATAGAGACAAAAGGTAGATCCATGGTTTCCTAGGCCTCGGGGAAGAAGTGGTGGGAGGATCTGGGGGTGACTGCTAAAAGATTGTTAGGTTTCTTTGAGGAATGATGATAGTGCTCTAACATCAACTATGGTAAGGCCACTTTAAAAAACATTAAATTGTGCAAATTAAATGGTGAACTGTGTGACATGTGAATTATAGCTCAATAAAGCTGTTAACTAAAAAAAAAAAAAGAATGGTATGAGAGAAATTGGTTAGCAAATATAAGAAAAGTAAGTAGAATCAGAGACTAAACTCAGAACATGTAACAAAATAAATTTTGAGTTGACCAAGGACCTAAATGTAAAATTAATGAAATACAAATAGGACAATTAGGATAGGTAAGACCATTTCAAGCATAAAACAAAGTATAAGAAAAATTAATAGGCATTATGATTATGTAAAAATTTAAGAACTACACATCCATTTTAATATGTTTTCCTACTCTGAAATCAGCTTAGCACAAGTTTTCATTTTGCTCAGAGTGGGAAAAACCCAAACTTGGCAGTCTTTCACACTTTAAGTGTAGTCATTTCCGGACTGAAGTCCGATCAATTTAAGTTTCCCCTGTCCTTTTCCCTTCTCCCCAGAGGTGGTCTAAGTTTCAGGGGGGAAAGGAAGGGAGGGCGAAGCTCAGTTGTCTTCCTGGCTCTGAGAGAGGGGTCTGTTCTGCAGAGCTGTGCTCTGATCCTCCCTAACTCACCTCGTAACTGGGCTGTGGCTGTCCCACCTCAGTACATCGTCTTGGAACACACAGCCCATGTGAGCTCACAGGGTTCACACCATGTTGTGCTTTTGTTCCAGTGTCCTGGACGTTGCATGGGTCGTGCCGTGAGGATGCTGCAGCATCACACAGCTTGCAGACACCACAACAGCTCTGACTGTGATGACAGGAGGTACTGGCCCCACCCCAGGGCAGCACACAGTCTTCTCTGCCTCACTCAGTGACTAAAACTACCTGAAAATGGAATTGCTTCTAGTTTCTACCACCACTCATAGTTAACAGTTCCTGTTAAGTTATGAATTTTTCCATTCCTTAATAGAATATATTATACTAAAATATTTGTTAATACTATTTGTAATTACAAGTTATTTGAATGTTGAACACAGAGTATTGCCTTAAAGGGAAGAAAGGGTAGCATTGAGAATAGACAGATATTTTTCTCTTTATATACAAAATTGGTTAAGCCTAATAATGTTTAATTTAGGTTTACAGATTAAATCTTCCTGATGTTTTCAATGAACCACTTTGTTCCTCTGTTTAGAAACTGTTTTGATTAGGATGTTGGCCCGATGGTTCAGCAAAAAATAAAATAAATTTTATCTTGTGGAAGAGCTTAAACAAGAGAGGAGTTTGTTTTGCTCTAGAATAAAAGTCTGAGCTAGTAGTGCTGTAGCAGTAGAAGAGGTTTGTTCACGAGGTCATCTGGAGATCCAGGCCCCTTGCAACTGGCAGCTCTACCATCCCAGAGTGTAGTATCCTAGCTAGCAACCTAAAAGCACACTAATCAGGGGCTTGGCATCCTATCATTCTCTTCCTATGTGACCTTGGACTATTTAACTTCCTTTATCTACCAGGTGGGGAACTTGTGGTTGGAAAGTTTTAATTAGTTACCCTGTTGTCAGCACCCAGGCAGCCTGAGTCCTAGAGGATAATCATATCTAACTCTTTCTCCCTTCTTCACATTTTGAGACTTGCTGGAGAAAATGGACTGACCTTAACAATTGGCTTGGTTACATTTTGAGTTTTCAGTCAGGTTTGGCAATGTAGAGTCAGCTGTATTTCCCATTCCCCACAACACAGTTTCAAGCCAGAACTCTTCAAATGTAAAATGTTTGGAACAGCTGCCTTCATTTCAACAGACAACCTAGTTTCCTATTTTGCTGAGAAGATAGAGACCACACACAGATTGATATGCATTGTCCCAGATGTTTAACTTTGCATTCAGAAAGATATATTTGCAATACAAATAAGTACTCCCTACATGGATTGAAACTTTTATCATTTTTCTGATATTTGTGTATTCTATTTCAGAATGTATTGTAGACTTTCCCCCTATCCTGGCTCATAAAGATTGAACTTGTCCTTTTTAATTGTTGCATTTAATAGTCTATTATTCCAATGTTGATGGACATTTGACTGTTTTAATTTTTCCACTTTTACAAACAGATACTGCAGTAAACGTTCTGGAACATATATCTTTACACAAAATTGGTATATTTTTACAGAGTAAATTTTTAGATATGTAATTGAATTAGTAGACATGATCATTTGGATACTATCAAATAACCATCAAAATACCCAGACCATCAATATCTGATACCCCCACTTTCATCCACATTGAATACATTTTCAGTCTTTCAAAAAAAATTGCCAATCCAATAGATTAAAACATTATGTCTCTTTGTAATCTGTACTTTTCTTTCTTTTTTTTTTTTTGAGAGAGAGAGAGAGAGAGAGAGAGAGAGAGAATTTTTTAATGTTTTTTTTTTTTAGTTTTCGGCGGACACAACATCTTTGTTTATATGTGGTGCTGAGGATGGAACCCGGCCACACGCATGCCAGGCGAGCATGCTACCGCTTGAGCCACATCCCCAGCCCTGTACTTTTCTGATTACATTTCACATGCATTTTTAGCTCCTTAGAGTTTTTCTTGAACCCATGTTCTTTTTGTTCCATTTCTGTCACCATTACTCTTGGGCAGGCAACTATCATCTCACCTGGTCCACTGCCATCCAGCTGGTCTCTCTCCGTATAACCATGCTTTTTCCCAAATCAGTCTCCACACTACAGCCTGAGTGAATTTTCCAGGATGCAGATCTGATTATACCACCACCACCTCCACCTAGCTCACTGTTAGCATAAAATCATGTTATAGATTTTCTTGCTCCTAAGAAGAAAATTAACCCAAATGCAGGACTGGGGCTGGTGCTTAGCAGTAGTGCACTTGCCTGGCAGGTGTGGAGGACTAGGTTCGATTCTCAGCACCACATATAAATAAATAAATAAAATAAAGATCTATCAACAATTTAAAAAAATTTTAAAAAAGCAAATTAACCCAAATCCTTAATGTGCCCTATAAAATTCCACAGGCTCAAGTCCGACATCCTCTTCACACCTGTATCCAAACCTCATTCTTCTCTGTCTTACTCCTTGTGTTACAACCCTTCTGTTTTCCTGGGTGTTCTTGGATATTTCTAATCAAAGACAGTAAAAACAAGATCTGGGGTGTGGCTCACTTAGCACACAGGAGGCACTGGGTTCAATTCTCAGCACTACATAAAAAATAAATAAATAAAATAAAGGTATGAGTCCATCTATAACTAAAAAAATATTTTTAAAAAGACAGCAAAAAGTAAGAAACAAAGAATATGAAAAGAAAAAAGCATAGAATGATCTATTAAAAGGTTCAAAACCTTGGGCTGGGGTTGTAGCTCAGTGGTAAAGCACTTGCCTCTTACATCTGAGGTACTGAGTTTGATCCTCAGCACTACATAAAAATAAATAAATAAATAAATTAAGTTATTGTGTCCATCTACAACCAAAAATAAGAAACAGGTTGAAAATCTGATTAAATAGGGCTTTAGACAAAAGATATGGAAGTAAAATAAAAGGGTGGATATTTTTCTAAATAATAGAAGAAAAATTCTTAGAACTGATGGTTGGGGGTCATGTTACCTTTCATTTTCTTTTGACTGTTTCTTCCAGGACTGGCTATTTTGCTTTTATAACCTGGTGCTTTCTTTCATGCTGTTATTATCCCTTGAATATTTGATGGTTTATAGATGAAGGATTAAGTTGATTAATGGTCTCATTTTCCCCATAGATCTTTGCTAATTTGGCGTGCTGACTGTGGGCTTGCCAAAGATAGGTGCAGTGTTAGATTTCCTTTTTAAGTGTCTAGTAAGGAGCAATGGGCAGGCTGGAGAGGCATCCCCCAGTAGCCACAGTGTTACAGGATGTCTTGCAGAGAGTGTCATTAGTCTTTGTGAATGGAGGCTCAGTGTGAGCAGGCTGTCTGCTAGAGACTTCTATAGGTCCAGGGAAGGGTTTAGGAGGTATGACCTAAAAGGGCATGGGAATTGTTAGGGTAAAGACAGTCCCAACTTGTATTAAGAAGACAACATGGGGACCTAAGGAAACATTGAGCACATAGTTGCCCAAAGTGATGATTACTCATCTCAGCCAAGAGTTAGAATCAACCTGGGAAGTTTCTCTGAAATAAGGATTCTTGTTCCTTACTTCAGACTTAATGAATCAGAACATTCTGGAAACTGCATAACAATCTATGCCTTTTCAAAGCTGCCCACTTCTGCCTACTTCTCATAACCCTCCCGGCTTGGGGTTTGCCATACTCAGAATCACCAGCTCCATCTGGCTGGTGATGCAGGCAATTATTTGAAGTAAGAGTGAAACAGGACTGAATAGAAACAAGAAAGTGAGAAAAGCTAGGGTTGCTTTATGATTTTTTCTGACATTTCTACATTCATTTTTTATGTAGAAAAACACATGACCTCCAATTTGTGCATAGTGCTAGTACCCAATCTGTGTCTACCTGGTTCAGGTATTCCCATCCCGGGTCATTCTATCCCTGCTCAGGAGGAAGTGGCCCCTCTGCTGATCCAGCCTGCCATTTGTTTTACTCTGACCTCCATGATCAGTCTCTGAGCTGCCGTGAACTTCCACTTCTGGGTTTGTCTATGGCTCTCTGAGCCTCTTATCCTTTATATTTGGGATGCCCTTGCCTCCCATCAAAGCAGAAGAAATGGTTGTATCACTTAAGGCCTTTTGGACTGGAGATGACAAAAGTCAACTTGGAATGATTTCTGCAAAGAGGGCAAAAGATTTTTTAATAAGACAAGACCAATTAACATGTGTATCTTCTTAAGTGTATTTTTTGAATATTTGTTGAAACTTTTCGGTAGAAAAGCTGATCTCTACATAGGGAGATGGCTGAGGAGTATTCAGTCTCTGCCTTATTATTCAAAGTGACTCAACCTTGGTCCCCTAAGTGTCATATCCACCAGGGAAAACAAGCAGTTAACAGAGTGGGTAACCTCCCCTTTCTCCCTCCCTAAACCTTATGAACCAGTGGGACAGTATGGTTAAACCCTTTGATGGAGACTCCCCCTACTGGCAAATTAAAGTATCGTTTCCCACTATGTGTTAGCTCTCCTTTAAAGAAATTCAGGTTATTGCTGTTTTCTCTGTTTTGTTACATTTCTAGTGGTTGTTTCAACATTCCTTATAGACTTTTATGTCCTGATAAGGAGTCTTTAATATGGATACAAAAACATCTCAAACCTGGCTGCCATGGACATGCCTGTAATCCTAGCAACTTGGAAGGCTGAGGCAGGAAAATACCAAGTTTGAGGCCAGCCTCAGCAACGTAGTCACACCTTATCTCAAAATAAAATATAAAAAGGACTAGGGATGTATCTTAGTGCTTTCCTAGTATGTGCAAAGCCCTGGGTTCAATCCCCAGTACTTAAAATTCTCAAATAATCCAAAGAGATATGCAGTCAGACCTCAGGAAGGACCATAACCAAGAAATGAAAAGCCATTTTTTTTTGTTTTGTTCTGTTTTTCTCTTCTTATCTCTACTGCTCCATGTGTATTTGCTTTATTCTTTGCTGTTTCTTGAAACTTCTTTCCCATCTTTCTGGCCCATGTGGCAGAATGTGGCAATCACTACTCCTGGCTTCAAGTTTATATGTCTTGTCCAGCAACCTCCAAATTCCTAGAAGATAACTATTGACCAGTTCATGTGAGGCCCTCTTCCTATCATCTTTGCAGTAGAGAGACATTCTCATACAGTACAAATATATCTTCCAGAACCCTGCCCAGGACACATAACCCAAAGTGGATCCATTAAGGTGGCTCTCTCCTCCAAGATAAACATTTTCCCCAAATCAGAAAGTATTGAGTTTCAGTTCTATTTTAAAAGCCAGGGGAATCAGAAATAAATTCCTCTTCCCAAATAAATGGTCTTTGGTAGTTTCTGATTAGACATCTTGGTGTGGCCTAAATGTACATGTTAGAGCACTTCTCTTGGCAGACAGGGTTGCTCACATATAAATTTAGACTCATACTGGAAAACGCTTCAAGTGCTTATAAACAGAAAACTCAAAGCTTGTTAACAAATCTGAAGTGTTTTACTGTGGTCATTATAGTAAATAATACTCTTCCTTGCCTAAATTGAACAGCTCCAGCTTATCAGCAACAGCCTCTCTTCTGATGTGTGGGCTGTGGTGTTGAAAGTCAGGGCAAACACACAGTTTGCTTGCTGTGCCTTCTTTGTGAGAGCACATCTAAGCAGGGACTCTCAAGCCCCAGGGAGTAGGGGATGTTCTGTCATTCTAGACTGCATGGCATAGAAGCAGAGGGATAATTCAGTTTTAGATGGAGGACACCCAGAGACCTTCCACCTGCCAGCAATGAGAAGAAAAACCTTTCCAGTGGTGGTGATGCCTTGCAGTAATCCCATGTCCTCTCAGTGATCTCTTCTGTGTAAACTTGAGTGTGAGCTCTCAACTTTGGATTTTAGTGGCACCTATTTCATGCTGTCTCATACTGTGAAAATGTGCTTGCTTGTTGACTCCACCACATATTTTTAAACATCATTTTGGCACTGGGATTATATGTCACCAATTTCTACATCCTCAGAGCCTTGTGTTTGATACACAGAAAGTCTTAAATGTTTATTGAATTTTTCTAAAATAGTTCTTCCCCTTTTTCTCCTATCATATATCTGTGTTGATTTTCAGAATCTTCCTAATATACCTTGGGCTAACTTATATAATTATAGGGTCATTCTCTATGGCTTAAAAACTGTCCATATTCTGAAGTAGACAGAATCTCTTTTCTATGGCCACAATTTTACCATTGCTTTGCTTAGCCAATCATGGACACTTAGAATTGGTTTCCTGGTGAATTGGGTCCTAATTGTCAAAGCCTTAGTATATAGAATATATAGTAGGATAAAAGACTTGATCCTATCAAGAAAGTGACACCCAGCCTCTCCTGTTGATATTCTTTTCCTATTCAGGCCCACCTTTAGGAGGAATTGCACATCAGGAGCCTGCAATGTGTGTTGGCGCACAGGCCCTTGGAAGCCCTGTACAGCAGCCTGTGGCAGGGGGTTCCAGTCTCGGAAAGTCAACTGTGTCCACACAAGGAGCTGCAAACCTGTGGCTGAGAGACACTGTGTGCAGAATAAGAAACCAGCTTCCTGGAGGCACTGTCTGGGGCCTTCCTGCAATGGTACGTACCCCTCCCAGGTGTCACCACAATGTCCTAACCTGACCTTGATGATGTCAACCTCATCAGAGTCACTTCTTGAGAGGCCACTCAAAACAGGTGTGGTGGCTTGGGACAATAGATGAGCTCTTTGATATACCTGCAGCATTGATTACTGCCTTTCCAACAAGCACTGGCAAACTCCACATGTTTCCTTCTACCAGGAAGAAATGTCCTGAACTTTTGTGTCAAATTTAATTGTATGTTATTTTTCTAGAGTGCAGGGGTCCATGACTCTGCCAAAGCTAAGTGCTTCTCTGAGCCCTGAGAGCAGCAGCATGGGCCAGAGGGGCTGTGAGGTTCCCAGGGCACTGAGAGAGGCCACTTGGCTGAACTGAGAAGTGAGTCCACTGCACTTCTGAATCCAGGACAAAGCAGTGGCCCAAGCTAAGGATAGTTTCTTCTCCTCACTCTGTGATCCTAATTTATGGCTTTTCACAAAATCCAATGACTTTTAGTCAGCCTTTAATGAGCCACGTGTTACTGATTCTTTTTCTTCTTTGCAGGCGACTGTGCAGATACAACTCACTACTGTATGTTCATAAGGCACCTTAATTTGTGTTCTCTGGACCTCCACAAACGAAGGTGCTGCCAGTCATGCCAAGAAGGGTAAACTTATGGAGGGGTTGTGATGCTGCTGTGACTATTAAAAAAAAATCAAAGCTCTTTTCCCCATGTCTCTGGTTCAAAAACATGTATTTCCTAAAGACTCTGGATTCCTTGATCAAACAGAGGTTGATGCAAAAACATCCCTGTTAAAATTTTGTAAAGTGAAATTTCCCCAGGGTCGGTTTTTAATTCTACTTCCTGTAAATGATGTATTCCAAGATTAACATAGTAATGTGCCAATGCACTTGGGACTTCATCATGTCTGCGTAATCGGGAAGTCACCAAGATAATGAGCACATCCTCGAATGCTGTGATTTGTAAACTAGCACAGAGTGGTACATCCTGAAGTCTTAGGAAGCACAGCAACTGAGGAAACTTCCTCTTCTCTCAAGTTGTAGAGTTTCAACAAGTTTGTGAAGTATCTACAACTGGCCAGTAGTTGTTCAGATGTTATCATTAATGGCATTTGCAAAGATGCTTAAGTTCAGTCTGTGAAAAAGAGATAATCTCTTGGACAGGCTTATAACTCCAATTGACCCAAGGATTCATGAGGAGGTGGCATCCTGTCCTTGCTCTCGAGCACTCTTGTAAGAAAACAGAGGAAATATTGCTGCCATTTTCACAACTACAGGAATCCATCTGTGACCAAATGAGGCATCTTGGAAATCAAAGAAGAGGGAAATTTAACCTTTTCTACTGATTTTGAAGTATATGCAATGCTTTAAGAACTGTGAATAGAACTTTTTCTAAGCACTATTCTCTTGCACACAAACAGAAAATCAAAGCCTTTTAAACCTAATTTATGCATAAAATAATATTCCTGAGGATTTTTATTTTGGAAAGTTTATAAGAAAGTAATCTAATAAGATACATAATTGAAAAGAATTGTTTATATAAAATAACTGCTTGAGTTGATTTTTCAGTAAATCCAAAGTGAATTAGAGTTAGGCGGGAAGTTACACTTATAGAAGTTGGAATTAGGATTTGGTTTAGGCTTTGGGGAACAAAGGTTAGGGTTAGTTTTCAGCTAGGATTGAGTTAGGTGAGAAAGGAAGTTAAATTAGGGCTAAGGCTGTGCTTGGTTAAGGAGTTGGGCTCAGGGCCAGGTTGGGGCAAGGTTGGGTTGGGTTTAGATTGGGTCCATGCTGGTGTGATAGTGTCAAGGTGAAAGTTAAGTGTGGAGTTAAGTGTTGCCTCTGAAGCAGGTTCAGGCTAGCATTAAATTGTAAACTCTAGAGCTAATTTGGTTATGGTAATCTTTTCCTGGTATTCCTCCAGTTATGGTTTTAGATGGCACAAAACCCCAAATAAATGGTTAGACTTCTTAATGCAATGTCCTGATTGCCTGTCACACGCTGCCTATAGCCTGTTGGCAACAAAGTTTCCCAAGGCAGGTTGTGCTAGATCTAGTTCCTGATCAATAATTGAACTGTGCAATTTTGGCTTTGGATTTGTCTGTGGATGAGCTTGCTGAGTCTTTTTACCATATTCTAAGCACCAGATCTGTTTTGTTCTAACTTCAGCCTCACCGACACTGGGATGAGCACTACTGTATGTGGAGGGTTTAGTGGCTGGAAATGGACAGGGGAAAATGAAGAGGACACACCAGCCCATGAATTGTTAATCATCAGTCACATTTGATTGTTGAAGGTTATTAAATTAAAAGAAAGATCACCTGTAATATACTCTTTGTATATATTTATTATATGACTTAAAGGTGCAATATTTTATTTTGTACAGTATGTAATAAAGACATGGGACATATATTTTTCTTGCTAACAAAGTTTCTTATTAAATTGCTTCACCTTTGTATTTAAAGTTAAAAGATACTGTTTTTCATTTGCTATTGTACTTTTATCACTCAAATGACATTCCTGTGTACTGTATTTTACTACTGTTTTTATGAGAGTTAATGTTTCTCTTTTATGATCCTTAAGCAATTCAGAAATAAATTTACTTTGATTATTCAATGGCATCGTTATATATGCATTGTTATTTGTGTTGTTTTGGGTAGTTTTCAATATTGTCACCTTAGCTGCCCCCTTGTTATTACAGTAGCTACCTTAATGAGTTCAGTGCCCTGGTCTGTCCTTGGAAGTGTGAGGTACAGAATTCAGATCAGACCTCACAGAAATTCACTTTAATTCTTTCATTCCAGTCATTTCCATCTATTGATATGATCACTGATTTTTCTTTATCTTGTTGATGCAATGGATTATATTAAATTGATTTTTGAATGTTGAACCAGCTTTGCATAGCTGGAATAAATTCCATTTAGTCATGGTGCAAATTATTTTTGTAAGTTGTTGGATTTGTTAGGTGTTTTGTTGAGAATATTTGTATCTATGCTCATGAGAGGTTTTGTCTGTAATTTTCTTTTCTTGTAGAATTGTCCTCTGGTTTTGGTATTAGGATGATGCTGACTTCATAGAATGACTTATCATAGTAATACTTACTGTGTAAACTTACATAGTAAAACTTAGTGAGCATAGTAATCAGTTATTTAAAATTCCTAGTTTGATTATTCCAATATCCCTGCCATGGCTAGTTTTGTTGCTTATTCCATGTTTTCAAATTGTGGGTTTCTTTTTTAAACTTTTTTGCTTTTTAGTATGTCTTATTTTTTTCTTGGTAGTCAGATATGATGTTCTAGGTAAAAGTACCCTCTGAAAGTAGGCTTTTAGTAGTAGTGTGGTGCTAAGTTGTGGGGAGAGGCATTCTGTTGTCTCATGAGTAGGTCTTTTTTGTGTGCCTGTGTTTCTGGACTGTGAATTTTCTTTATGTTTCTAAGAGTTAGTTGTTTGTTTTTCCTTTAAGGTGGATCAGGCTGGGTAGAGTGAGCTGGAGTTAATTAACTATTTCCCTTCTCTCATATGGAAAGCTAGAGTAGACTGGAGTTGGTCAGCCAGGTCAGTTAGATTCTGATAATATCTCAGCTGGTTAAGCTCTGATTGACTATTCCTGAGGACAGGCATTGTTAAGAACAACAGAAAGATCATTTCACAATGGATCCTTCCTCCTCAGCTGGTAACACCAGGGGATTATTCTCTGACATTTGCATTAAGAAACTGGTCAAGCTCCTGAAGGTAAATCTCCTAGTAACTGTGTGCCCCTTCCCACAATTGACTCCCTTGAAACTTTTCAACTTATTCACTCTGAGCTTCCAGAAATTCATTAATTGCACTTCAGATTTTCCTACCCAGCACTTATTCCTTTGGTAGTCCCTCCATCTCTGCTGTGACAAGCCATGACTGTGGGGTTAGGGATTTGTTCTGTGTCCTCTTCTGTTTTTCTGATCCAAAAAAACTTGATTTTTCAGACTATCCAGCTTGCTATTTGTTAGAATGGTGTGAGGCATGATGGTCTCCAAGTTCTGGAACCAGAACTGGAAACTGCATGATACCCTTCTCTTTGGGGCATTGTGAGGAGTTTCGAGATGGAGTTTAGATGTCTACAGCTACCTCCTATCAGCAATTGGTAGAGTGACACCTTTCTCTATCATCTTGGTATAATCATGAGAAACATCAGATAACCCCAAATTGAGGGCCATCCTACGAAATTCCTGGCTAGTATTCTTGAAGTGTCAAGGTCATGAATGATTCCATTTCTATGACATTCTTAGAGTAAGTAGAATCAGAGGCAGAAAGTAGAATCATGGCTTCCAGCAGCTGGGAGGAGAGAGAAAAGGGGACTTATTGTTTAATGAGCAGAGACTCAGTTTTACAGGATGAAAAGTTGTGGTGATGCATAGTCATCATGGTTACACATTATTAATGCATTTAATACCACTGAATTGTACATTTAAAATATAGGTAAAGATGTTAAGTTATATGCTGTATTTTGGAAAAATAATCAAAAACTACCATTATTTATATCATCACACAATTTGTTGCAGCTTAGTCATCGGAGACCTTTTTTAGTTGACTGCATATACACCAATCTGTGAATGCACACCTACATCTATTTTTATGAATTCATACTTAAATCTTGCACACTAATTCAATACTGTGGGCTTTATTATGGTCTACATATTTCTCTGTAGCTTTTTCCTCTGGAAATGAGAAGTCAGGCTGTCATTATCTACAATATATTTTCTTGATTCAACCTCAACATTCCCTCAAAGTGGCTTAGAATTACTAGCATATACCCTTGGTGAGAGAAGGAAAAAATTACCAACTGGAGTATGATGATATATACAATTCTTTTTTGTCTTTAGCTTTATAGTGTCCAGTGTAAAAATTTTCCAAGTTCCTTGAGTCATCTCTTTTCTTCCTAATCCATCAGTGTGCTTGTGTGCTTAATTTGTAGTGCAACTATATATATTTATCAAAGTCTGAACCCCTTCTTTGGTTTCTCTTATTGTAGGTGATGGTTTTTATAGTTTACATACAATATAATTCACTCTTTTGTGTTCTAATTGTTTTGGAGAATTCAGAGTTGTGTATTTGCCACCTATATCATACATAATAGTCTCAGTACCCATAAAATTCCCTTGTCCTGCCACTTTGCTGTAATTTCTCTCCTACTTACCACCTGTAGGCAATATTCATCCATTTTCTGTCTCTTTAGTTTGGCCTTTTCCACAAACATACAAATGGGATCATACAACAGATAACATTTGGAGTTTAGCTTCTTTCATTGATCAAAACATGTTTACATTTCATGCATGCTGTTTCGTGAATCAATAGTTTGTTCTCTGAGTTGTCTTTATATGCCTGGTATCCTTAAGAGGGAAATTTGCAAGCACACAGGGAGAATGACATGCGTCCTTAAGGCAGAGCTCTTAACCCCAAAGAACTCCAAAGATGCCAGAAAATGCATTAGAGGCGAGGAGAAAGGAATGGGACAGATTTTTCCTCACAGCCTTCAGAAAGAAGCAACTCTTGATCTAGGGACTTCTAGCCTCTGGAACTAAAATACAACTTTCTATTATTTAAACCACCCAGTTTGATATAGTATCCCTAACAATTTAATACTGTGTTTAGTTATGTGTCTGTTTATAACTTTTATCATTTTTTGTGTTTTTTGTTTTGTTTTTCGTATTGCTTGCTTTACTATCTTGAGCACCTCCTAGCCACATTTTCTTGTTAGCCATTATAGCCCCCATACTGGCCAGAAATAAAGTGGGGGAGGGATATTGGAGAGAATGGTGAAATACCCCAGCCACCCTAGAGAGCAGCTATCAAACTGTATGCTATGTCATGGGTAGGTTGGGAAGGGTGACATTGGTAATAGTACTATGTCTGTCACATAGGGTGAAAGTCTGCCTTCCATGTAAAAGAGAATTGTGTGTACTGAGGAATAAAAACTACAGCCTTAACAAAATGGAAGAATCTTCATGTGTTATTGGACACTGGGACCCTTCAAAATGTATTATCAGCACACTTTTTAAATAGCCTTTTTGAAGTTTGCTAACTCATTATTTCAAGGTTCATTTTTACCTTCTTTGCTGGATTTTAAAAGGTTTCCTCTCCCCTTGGTAAGTGTTCAGAGTAATTCTGAGAGAGCTTTTGGTTATAGTTTTCCATAAAAGAAAGCCTAAGGATTGATATATTAAGAGGATGGGGTGTAAATGGTGAATACTCCCTTCTGTTCCTCCTGACACGAAGTGTTTTGTTTTAAACTAGACTTTTTAAAAAATATTTTTTAGTTCTCAATGGACCTTTATTTTGTTTATTTATATGTGGTGCTGAGAATCCAACCCAGTGCCTCACACATGCCAGGCAAGTGTTCTGACACTGAGACACAATCCCAGCCCCTGGAGTTTTAGGTTCACAGAAAAACTGAGTGGAAAGTACAGAGATTTCCCATATCCCCCATGAACCCACATGTGTACAACCTCCCAACTGTCAACAGCCTCCATCAGAATGGTACATTTGTTACAATTAAAGCATTTGCATCAATACATCATCACCTAAAGTTCATAGTTGATATTAGGGTTCATTCTTGGCATTACCTGTGCAGATTTTTTTTGAAAATAAATCATAATGCCTCTGTTTCTGATGTCTCAGTCTGTGGTCTTATTTTCCTCAACAAGGGAAAGACAGGGTGGAAATGGGATAGGGTGGAAGTGAAAATTTCTTGCCAAACTTTTCTCTCTGAATTTGCCTCTTTATCAGATTCATCCAAGTTTGCCTTAGTGGAACTTCATTCTAGAATCTGGAATGTTGTTAAATAGTATTACTGGTTTCCAGTGCTGTTCAAATGTATGAATGTGTGTATCTGCATAATATTTCAAGGAAACTTAAGAAGGTGATGAATTGGGGATTGCAAGCTTTCTGCCTGTATATCTTACTAATCTCCAACTCAGACACAGAGATGCTAATCCCTTTGTACCTGTGTTTATGCTCTTTCTTCTCACCTATCTTGATAAGTTTGTACTTATATTTCAAGATTTGGCTGATTGGTCATCTCTTTCAGAAAGATTTTGCTGAACCCCTTGACTAAAGGAAACCCTTTAAAATCCACCAAAGAAGGTAAAAATGAACCTTGAAATAATGAGTTAGCAAACTTCAAAAAGGCTATTTAAAAAGTGTGCTGATAATACACTTTTGAAGGTATTATCAGCATACTGATAATTGGATCCTCAGCCTATGGCAAATCCCAGGAAATCCCTCAGGAAATCCCAGTAAATGTCTTATTAAGGGTGACCTCTGTCCAGGGAGATTGAACCTATCAAAGTATGGAGGGATCTGAATATTCATCATTGGAATATGGGCCGGGATGACAGAGTACTATGCTATAGTATACCCGATTTTTAATTCTGAGTATCTAACAAGGTTTTTATTTAAGAATGTCTACTCACATATAGGTCAACCTAGACTGTAATAAAAAAGCTGTCATTTAAAAAAAATTGGGTACATGACTTCATGAAAAATCCATTCTTTTTGTTTTATTAATATTGCATAGAAATATAAAATTTCACATAACATTTTCACTAAGTACAACTGTAAGAACAAATTCTTGTCAAATAATTAGAAATATTTAATCAATATACTTATGAGTTTATTATCAATAAAGTATATACTTGGAAACAATTCTGAAGCAATAAAAGACCTTATGCTAAAATAAATCATATTCTTCCATAATGCAATCATTTATTTAACAAAAGCCCGCCCAGTCAGTTTAATTCATTAGAGAATTTTCCACATTTGTAAATATTTGTTTCTACTTTGCTTGCTGACATCATTTTTTCCTTCCTTCCCTATCCCTTTTCTTCACACTGGAAATGGTCAGTGAGGTGATTATACCCCATTTGGGGCTTGGTTCTACTTCTTTCTGAACATAAAGTCTGGGCATAGCAATTAGGTACATAATTACTTAAGTTTACCCTGAAGATTTCTTCAGAGCTATCATTCTTCCTAACATCATTCTAGCAACTGTGTGATTCACCCCAATCTAAGGTCTCGTTGTCTGTAACAGCTGTTCAAATCCCTGTGACTCTAGAGAGGGCAAAACTCTTCTCAGAGGTGGTCAAAATGAAGTAGGTTATTTTGCAATCTTTACTACATGCCAGGAAATGATGATTGAATAGGAAATTATCCTCATTTGGAAAGGTGAAAATATACAAAAGCAATTGAGTGATTTATTAACAATTCCTTGGTTACATTTGTACTTTTACTTTATGGATTAAGATGCATCATATCATCTGATGCTCAAAACAAACAGTGTGGTAGGCAGAAGAGATATTCTTCTACAAATGAAGACAAAGAAGCTTAGAGACATGAGGCACCTGCTTAAGGTGGCACAAATAGAAATTGATGGCAGTAGGATTTGAGCTCATGTGCTCTGATTTCCAGCCCCCAAAAGCTGTCATGTTGCAATGTTTCTTACTAACTTCAGTGTAGTGAGGAGTGGTCTCCAGCACTACCCCGAAAATTGACTTGGTGTACACTACCTGGGTGCCTTAAAATCTGAGGAAACTGAATCGTACTGTTTTGGAAGAGAAATCCATATGTTGTTTTCAGTGTTGCTGTTGATGGTCCCAATGTTCTTGATAAGTGGTAACTGGTATATGACCTTTATAACCACATAATTGCCATAATTATAAACAGAAGTGCAAATAATAGATTAAGGATAAAATATCAAACAGTATGCTAAATATTAAAGTAGTTCAGATGGGAAATGTACATTATTCAACATTCAGAAATGCAAAGTAAACACAATCTTGATTAAAATATCAGTAAAAAATTGATTTTAAGATTCTGATCTCCTATAATACATTTTCCAATTTTGTTTAAAAATCTGAAAAATCATGTTTATCTTATAGTTTTTTCACTATAAAAATCATGTTTTCCCTTGAAAAATCAATACCTTGTAGTTAGCTTCCTTTTAAGTATAATTTGATGATTAGGAGGCTTTCACTGCAGGAGTGATCTTACGGAAGAATTTATGGCCTTGGGAATTTGTATTTTCAAATATATAGCCTGGAGGAGAGGGATAGCTAGCTGGGCAGATTTCTTGTTTCTTTGGTGTGTACTCTATAGAATACATAGTGATATCATCGAATGGAACAGAACTCTTAAGAGCAACATTTAAAGGTTTGCAACTCTCTGTTGGAATCAATTCATGTGGCACATAGTGAGATCTGAAAGTGCTCAAACCATCAAATTTTCCAGAAGGGTTGGGAATCTGCTGCTGCTGCTTAATGAGCCCTTGACGACAAATTTCCCATACTGGAAAATCTTCCTTCATGGTGCTTTTTCCTTGGAAAGGAAAATTGTTTTTTCTTCTGTGAGAAACTGGCCTGATGGGAACAACACGGTTGGCCTGATAGGGAACATAGTCAAGGTGGCTTGTGCTGTTTAACTGCATGCTGCCTGTAGGGGGCACATACTCTGGTACTTTCTTGACTTCTGGTGGTGGGATTTCCCATGGTTGGAAACTTTCCCGGAATTCAGTGTTTCCTTCAAATTGAGCACTTTGGGTCACTCTGGTGTGGGCAGGTCTGCATATTTTTGCAGTTTCACCAACAAGACCCTGAAAGTCATTCCGGTGAGTTGTGAGATCCTCAAAAGGTTGGTCAGTTGGCTTGTAAACTTCTTTTGGCTTTTCAAACTTGATTTCTAGCTGATGAGGTACATAATCAATGCGATGACTTGTATCACCATTAAAAGGGGCTGTAGAACGCTTGACTACAGAGAAGGGCTTAAAGCTTTGTCTTGGTTTTATCTCCTGAGGAACATAGTCATCCTGAAAGGTAGTTGAATTTCCAAATTTCACAGTTGGGGGATGATAAGTTTGTTCTGGTTTATAAAGTTCACTTTTCTGAATGCCCCAAGATCTATAATCATCTTAAAAATTAAAACAAAACATTTTTAAATGCTGAAAGAAACAACTCCCTTCTAAGAATCATGACTGATTTCTTTCTTGGCCAAACATCCTTTCTTTTAGAAAACCAAACACTAGCATCAAGTATGAAATTACTTTGATGGCCTCAGATTTGCTATTTTTTCTTCATTTCCCCCTTCTTCTACCCATCTCCCCACTTTAGCACACCCAACTTTTCATTTCCAGATTCACCTAATTACATACAAGGGAATGGCACGTCTGAGCCCATTTGTGGATTATTATTGAAAGCCAAAAGGACTGTGTGGTGAGGACAGTTTAGAAGGGTATGGTTTCAATCCTGGGAACTGGCTAGGATTTTCACTATAACTTGCAGAATGCTAACGCAAGTCATCAAATCCATGAATTAATGTAAATCAAGTGTTCTAATGTGAGAGCACAGGTGATGTGTGTCTACTCCTCCCTTTGGACTGTTATCCTCTAAGGAGAGAAAATTTCAATTCCATTATGGGACTTCTTGAGCAAGGTCAAGGTAACTAGTATTATCCCAGAGATATCATTGACTTCATTTATTCTTCCTTATGTGAGATTCAGACTTTCAGACATTCCCAAAAGGTAAAGCTTCATTTAGAGGCCAGGGTCCTGAAGTGAGTACCATCAAAAGTGTTTTAGAGCAAATTGTTGTATGCATTTACGAATGTCACTAATATGTATAACTATAATGCACTAATAAAAATGAAATTTCTAAATGTAAAAAATTGCATGGAGAACTTAGGAGGGAACATAGGATCTAACTTCTGAGATTTAGAAATTCAATACTTTAACTCTATTTCCCACAGCTTACCTGGACTGTGGATAGAAAACTCAAGTGTTTATATTTAAACTGAGAATTAGTTAGAATATCTATTTCTAGATGAGAAAGGTTATATGAGGAATACTATAAAAATTGACTTCACTGAAAAATGTATTTCTTTAATTACCAAAAATTAATTTATAAAAGACAAGGTTTGTTAAAACAAGGTAATGTATTAGAATATGGACTAAAATCTATGCAAAGTACACTGAAATAGCCAGACCTTGAATACTTATTATGTGGAGCATCTTTCCTTTGAAAAAGAAAAATTCTTCATCCAGAGAAATTTCTGCCAAAATAGTCAAGAACTGGACTAATAATTAAGCTACTGATATTTGGATAAGAATGGACATCTGTTGCAAGAGCAAAATTATCTTTAGGTTATCAGATACCTATGAAACAAACTGTCAAGAAAAGATAAGCTAGATCAAGTAGTCTTGTTTTGTGAAACAGAAGTTGAAATTAAAAGCTAGATAGGAGAAGAATCTATAAATGATGCCATGAGATAGAATTGGAAAGCTGTGGCATGCTGAAGTTATTTCAAGACAGACTTGTAAGAAAATGGAAATGATGCCATAGGCAGAGGAGCCCAGTTAGTAGGATGGCCATCAGAGCAGAGACATAAGGGGAAGTGGTGAAGGTTCTGTGAGAGAGACTGTGAAGCTCATCAGAGGTGAGGAAGAAGCTCTTGACTTAAGCTCCTTCTACTGAGCTGCATTCCATTTCCAGTTCACTTGAAGCTTTACCACAAAACACCATATTGCAGTAGCTAACAGGAAATCAAGAGATTTCAGTAAAAATCTACAGTCCACAAAATCATGCATAAATGGGCTGATTTGGTACACAGGCTATAGTCTGGTGCTCCTTGCCTTAAAGTGTATAGTACATATTTTTAATTAATCACAATCTACCTGCAAGCAATAGTATTATGATTTATATACACAGTCATGTACCAAATAAGAACAGGTATCATTAAGGAATGCCTTATAAGGCAATTCTGTCATCCTGCAAACATCAGAGTGTTTAGACTAAGTGTTAAGACTAAGATGGGGGCTGGGGATGTGGCTCAAGTGGTAGCACACTCGCCTGGCATGTGTGCGGCCCGGGTTCGATCCTCAGCACCACATACAAAGATGTTGTGTCCGCCGATAACTAAAAAATAAATATTAAAAAAATTTTCTCTCTCTCTCTTTAAAAAAAAAAGACTAAGATGGCTATATCACCACTAGGTGTTATAGTCTTACAGGTCCACGACAATCTGCGTGATCCATCATGGACTGAATCATGGAGTGCCTGACTATAATCTTAAATACTCTCAACAGTAAACTTCCAACTCCTACCTCCATTTTGTATTTATTGTTACTATATTTTTAATTTTATGCATCGTGCAAAATAACAACAAAATTGTCTTCATTTATGCTCCCAAAACTATTTTATATTAATTTCCATTTTAACATTTTTCTGGGGATCTTCATTTCCTTATGTTGAGTTTTTGCCTGGCACCATATTTCTTGTACCTAAACAATCTTCTTTAAAATTTCTTTTAGTGAAGCTTTATTGATAATTCAGTTTTCAGTTATTTGAAATGACTTTATTTATGATAGATAATTTCATTGGGGATTGAATGTGGTTGACAGTTTTCCTCTTCAACCCTTAGCATTTTAAAGATGTTAACTCCATCATCTTCTGGTTTGATTGTTTCTGACATAAAGTCTGTGTGTCCTTTCTTTATTCCTCTATATGTAATGTGTCTCCCCTACACCCAGGTGCTTTAAGGATTTTTTTCATTTTTCATTTTCAAGTCAGAATTTCTAGGTGATTTGTTTTCTTCTTTTTATAAATTTATTTTGCCTGGGGTTCTCTAAGCTTCTTGGATCTAAACTTTGATGTTATTCATTGTCTTTGGAAAATTCTTTTCTATTACATCTTCCAATAATTCTTTTATCTTTTCTGAGATTTCAAATATGTAGATGTTAGGTCCATTAAAAAGTGTCCCATTGGTGACTGTGGTGTGGCTCGGTGGTAAGGTGCTTGCCTCCCACGTGTGAGGCACTGGGTTCAATCCTCAGCATTACATAAAAGTAAATAAACAAAATAAAGATACTGCATCCATGTATAACTAAAAAATATTTTTTAAAAAAGTGTCCCATAGCTTTGGATGGTCAGAATCTTTTATTTTTTTCATTTTTCTTTCTCCTTGTGTTGTGTTTTGGTTCAGGAATTTACATTGACCTATTTCAGGTTTACTTAAGTTTTTCCCTTGACTGTGTAATGTCTATTGATATGCTTATGAAAGTCATCATTTATCTTGGTAATTGCTTTTATTTTTGATTTATAATTATTTCAATTTTATAGTTTATTCATCTTTTTTTCTAAAATTCATTTGTTTATGTGTTGTTGTCCACCTTTTCTAACTATAGCTTTTAGTACTAGTTACTAGTCTTTTTACTAAAAAAAAAAAAAAAGAAAAAGAAAAAAAAAGTTTTCTGGATTGTTCCAATGTCTGGTTAATTTCTGAACCTGGTTTAGATTTGGTCTCTTGACAGTCCCTTCCCTTCCTTCCTTCTTACTTTGTTTTCTTTGCATAATTTATAATTTGGATTTGAAAGCAGGATATTGTATATAGCACAAATAATAATATATGTAGAGATGGATACATATCTTCATCTGCTGGATCTTCAGTGAGTGGAGTTCAGTCAGTTCAATTTATAGTTGAACTGGGTTTGAGTTTTGTTGTTATGCTTACCTTCAGTGCATCTCCAGTTTCACATTCTTTTGGCATCATGTTTTGCTCAGATAAGAGTCTGATTTACTAGAGTTTTTTCATTGTCTGCCCCATTCTCAGCTATAGGCTTTCTCTTTACACCGATACCTCAGAGAAAATGTTTTTCTCCATATCCTGCCTTTTAACAATGGTAAACTGCTGTTGTTATCAATGCTTAGATATGATGTTGGAGTGTGTGTATGGGGAGTTGTTTCTCTGTGCTTTGTCCAGCTTCAGTCTTATGCAGGTCCTATGCCTCTGGGTCTCAGAAGTAGAGCTCTCTATATCCCTTGATGTTGCGGATCTGTAGTGAGTTGGTTCCAGGACAATCTCCTATTCTTTCATGCTAGAAGTCTTGTCTTGCTGCTGCTTCTTGTTTTTCCTTTTCCTTTTCCCAAGTTGGAATAGACATTCACTTTTTCTTTGGGGATAACAGTGATACCTTTCCCGCAACAGACTAATGCTTTGTTTGTAGGTCTGAGGCATTCAAATGGAGCTTTCTGCCTTTCCCACAATGATGGTTATGTTTCTCTCCATGCCTGCTTCCTCTGACCTCTAGTCTTTCCTTCAATCTTTTTAACGAACACACAGTGAGCATCCAAAGAGAAGAGTGTCCAAGGCTCTCTGGGCTCTCACATAAACTATACTCAATCTCTTAATAATTTGTTTGAAACAATGAAAATTTTAAATCTCTGCATGCCAGCCAGTCTGCATTCTATGTACTGCTCCAAGGGAAATGGTACTTGCATCCTGTCTCAACTTTGAGGCAGCTGTTTGTCCTTTTATTTCAGATTAGCAGTTTGACTCGTGGTCTCAGCTTTCTGAAGGATTCATGAACATCTATCATTTTTTAAATTATTTTATTTGTTAGCTCGAGAACACACTACTTCTAGTGTTGTGTATCTTATTTGGAAGCTGGAAATCCTGAATTTTCCTTTATGATAAGGCTTTAAATTAAATCTTCACGCCTCAATTTCTTTTACAGATATAAAGCTATTATGACTTTCTTCTTGAGTTAATTTGGATAAATTATACTTTTCAAAAAATTTGACAATTTCATGTATTTTATCAATTTTTTGGTATACATTTTTAATAAACTTTTCTTAATGTATGAAAAAAATCAATCTTTGAATTTAACTCAATGTTTATTTCATTTACACTTAATGTAACACATGATCTAGCTGAACTTAAATTCACTGTATCATTATTTACTTTTGATTTTCCCCATGCTCCTTTATTTCCTACCTTCTTTTAGATTAATAAAGGGTATTTTTGTTATTCCATTTTTCTGTTAGAATTTTAATTATAAATTTCTGTATTTGCAAAATAAAAAGGTGTATTTACTTACTATTCTGGCCTAGTCAAACTAAATTGATATTCTTAATATT